GGGCGCCCGCCACACTGCGCCTGCGCGCGCCTTCCGGAGCCGCGCGCCCTGCCACGCGGTGCCGCGCGCGGGCCCAGTGCTCGCGATCTCTGCTGGGAGGGCTCCAGTATTGGGACTCCTGATCTTGGTCCCATCCGCCTTTCTGCCCCTGGGTTGACCTTTACAGACACTGGTGGCTTTACAAACACCGCAAGCCCCTTCTTAAGCCTCTAAGTCTCCTGTGTGTCCTACCTCAGGGAATGACTTTCTCCATCCCCCGAATTGCCCGTCAGAAACCTGGGTATCATCCTTTCTCCTCCACCCCAGATTAAGATCCGATCCAAAACCAAGTTCTGCGGACTCGACTCTGGAAGAGCTCGCAAATCCATTTGCTTTTGTCTGCCCCCTTTGCCACTTTCCTGGTTCATCCAGGTCCTCCCTATTTTTGGCTACATTATCCCAACAGCCTCCTATTTCTACCCTTGGCCCCATTTAATCCATTATCCACAATGGTACCGGGATAATCTTCCAAAAACAAATGTGATGTCACTTCCTTGGTTAAAACCTTCAGTGGCTTCCCATTGCCCTTAAGAGAGACAAGTATGTGTCGTGGTTAAGGGCACAAACTGGAGCCAGAACTACCTTGTTCAGAATCCTACCTCTACACTGATAAACCGTGCCACCTTGAGCAAGTAACTAAATTTCACTTGTCTCAACTCCTTCATCTGTAAAATGGAATTGATAATAGAACCTCCTAATACAGTTGCTGTGAATAGTAAATCACTTTAATGTATGTATGGGGCTTGGTAAGTAATAAGGGAGGGCTGTGTAAGGATTAGATTTTATCTTTTTTGTTTGTTTTTTGGTGGCTGGCCTGTAAGGGGATCTGAACCCTTTAACACTGCATTCTGGGCCGGCCCGTGGCTCACTCAGGAGAGTGCGGTGCTGATAGCACCAGGGCCGCGGGTTCGGATCCCATATAGGGATGGCCGGTTAGCTCACTGGCTGAGCGTGGTGCTGACAACACCAAGTCAAGGGTTAAGATCCCCTTACTGGTCATCTTTAAAAAAAAAAAAAAAACACTGCACTCTAACCAACTGAGCTAAGCCAGCCACTTACCTTTTAAGTACAATATCTTTAATGTTGTTTTCACTTGGCCCCTGCTTACTTCTCCAGCCTCAGCTCTCCATTTTTCAGAGTTGTGTAATTTCACTATCATGAGTCTGATACCAGAGGAGAGGGTCTGGGGAGGCCCAAGGGCTGGACTCAACCCACCCCATCTTCTACCAGATTCTTGACTCCACCACAGTAAAGAATTCAAGAGCAGAGTCACAGTGGAAAGTGAAAGCAGGTTTAATGTGAAGAATAACAGATACAGATTTCACAGGGAAAGTAAGGCCTAGCTCCAGAGACTGAGCAGTGGCTGCATCAGATTTAATACAAAAGTACGAAATACACACTTTACGGATAAAGTGCAGACTGGTTCCAGAGTGAACAGCAGCCTGTTCAAAATAAGTTTAACACAAAAAATAAGTGAAGTGTGGGCTGGCTCCAAAGAGAGAGTAATAACCCCACCTTCTGTCTGGGTTCCACTTTTATAGTTTTGGCTATCTATACATATTCATGTTATCTAATGAATATTCAACCAAGAGGGTAGTTCCCAGTGATTTAACAGGTTTGTGCATGCTCAATTGGTCTCTTTTTAGAGCATGGTCATTGGTTAAATTCCACCACATGCTCTATAGTGCCTCCACTGGAAGGTCATTCAAAGGATGAATTTTACTTTACTGAGCATGCTCAGCCACTGGAGTTGCACAAGTCTGTCCCCTGTAGTTTCAATCTTCCCCTGCTGGTACTGAAAATAGGTGTGATAAGCAATAATGACTGTCCTCTAGTGGAGGACCTAGAAGAGGGGCCTGAGACCTTGGGGAGTGACTTGAAACTCAGAGGTGTGTCCCGAAACCCAAACTCTTGGAAACTGAGTACTTCTTATCTCAAGTCCAGGTGGGATTTTCTTTTCTTTTCTTTTTTTCCTTTTTCCCCCATTTGCTTGGAAGCTATAATCTGTGGATTGATATCTTTCACCAATTGTGGGAAATTCTCAGTGATTTTTCTTCAGATATGCCTCTGCCTCATTTTCCCTCTCTTGTGGGACTCAAATTAAACATAAGTCTTTATTTTTTTACCCATTGTCTGTATTTTTCATCTTCTTGTCTCTGTGTTGCACTCTAGATAATTTCTTTTGTGTTGACCTTGTAACCTGGGATCTTGCTGAACTCTCTTATTAATTTTAGGAAGTTTTTTGTAGATTCCTTGGGATTTTTTATGTAGACAATCACTTCATCTGCAAATAGGGAATTGTGTGGGGTTTTTTTTCCCCAAAGTGAATGCTTTTTATTTCCTTTTCTGCCTTATCGTGCTGACTGACTAGGACTTCCAGTACTACGTTGAATAAGAGTGGTAAGAGTG